ACCAGCCCCCCCTGCTTGGCTACCGCCCCACCCAAGAACGTGACCGCCGACGCTGACGCCGACACCACTGCCTCTACCACCGCTCAGAGCGCTCATAGCAGACTCACTTTCTTGGATACCACTCCCCCCTTGACCTGGACCCGAAGCTGCGCAAGATAGAGCAGCAGAGCAGATAGCGTGTCCTGTTGCATGAGTCCCACACCGCTCGCTGTTGTTCTTGGAGCAGGCAGAGGAGGTGCTGATGCTTCCCTGGATCCTGGCTGCTGTACTAAACTGGCAATGCTAGACAGTTCAGTGCTACGGTGGTTGACCATCCCTCCTTGCACGAGTCCCACACCGCTCGCTATTGTTCTTGGAGCAGGCAGAGGAGGTGCTGATGCTTCACTGGGTGGGTGCTATAAACTGGCCGAGCTAGACACAAGTTCGGGGCTACGGTGGTTGACCATCCCTCCTTGCACGAGTCCCACATCGCGCGAGGTTGTTCTTGGAGCAGACAGAGGAATTGCTGATGTTTCACTGGATCCTAGCTGCTGTGCTGCATTGGAAGTTCTAGACGCAAGTTCGGCGCCACGGTGGTTTCCATCCATCGGCGGCGTAGAGCACTCCGGCTCCAGTGTGTGTGTTCGAGCGTGGAGCATGCGAACACAGCTACAGTCCCGTGTGCCGTCGGTCTTCAGGGGCGTCGGTGATTGGCTAGACTGCTAGACTACTACATTTCCATGTTGTAGTCCATACGTTTGTAGTGCCAATTTTTTTGGCTCGTGAAGACCACTGCACACATCGGGAAAATGCTACAATGTCAACGACAACGCAAGCATAGCCTCATCACACATTCAGCTGCATTGCACCCAACACACCTTCTGCTGTCGCTAATTACTTCTAATGAACTGCGTTGCTTCGCCCCCCCGTGATCCTTCGACAGATGGACTTCAAAATATGCCCAAAATCGAGATGGTCCTGACGTCGTCGCAGATGGGGAGCGGAGCCTCCATTTCCATGGTTGACTTGTTAATCCTGTCGTCAGTGTCCACCCCCCATGGTACATCATCCTTTGTATGAAATAAAAATCGTCACATTAAGAGGAAAAGGTATGCGTAAGGTACACTGGCGAAAGTCCTTGCAGAACTCGGACACGTCTTCAAAAGTTCTGTTCAGCAGGCGTGCAGCAGACACGAGCGCTTTTCCTCCAAGGGGTCGACGACACGGGCTCGCAAAACCAACACCTCACACCTCACACGCGTACATGCGTCCTACCCTGTTCCGCTTGAGGCCAAGACAAGTGGAGAAATGGTTCACAGTTTACACATCGACATATTCCAGCACTGAGTAGCACCTAGCTACTGCATGATCACCTACCTGACTTGTGCAGCCTCTCTGAGCTAACCCCTTCGGTCTTACCAACCAACATTGTAACAACCGTGAAGAGTGTTTTTGCTTCTATTATTCAGTCTATGGCAAAATCTACAAAACATGAACGGTAACACTGCGAACACCACCTCTAATACAACAGCAAGCATTTTACTGTACATAGTACACACGCCCACCCAACAAAATTTGCGTCCCAACGAACCACAACATACTTTGGTCCTGAAAATCACGTAGAGACAAAATGCACGTAGTCCTTGCTGCGCGGCAAAAACAGTGCCCCTTCGGTACGTCTACAAGTAGCCAGCCCCGCTTGCGCCATTCAACAGCCAAATCGACCGCTCGAAACAGTACAATACACTTGCCTCTCCTAAACCGCCGAGAGATACCCATTCTGTTCGATTTGCTTCGATTGAGAGCCCCATAGCGCATGTATGGGAAATCCCTCGACCTTTGCTCAGGCGATCCGCCAGCGACACAAACACATGATTTTGACTGAATCCCCCCCCCCCCCCCCCCCCCCCCCCCCCCCCCCCCCCCC